TTTTTCTATCCTTTGCAAATGATTCAAATTTTAGTATGTTATTATGGACGATAACGACTACCAGTTGTCAAAATTTCAGCTTTTCACAGTTGTTATTTCTAACAAATATTAGGTTTTAAAATTTTGTCCCTTAGTTTTGGACGCTACTATATATATATATATATATATATATATATATATATATATATCTACATATTCAGTTAAAAAAAACAAAAAAAGAATTTTGATAATGGTTAACAGAATAGGTGAATGTGCTCAGATATATAGAACATTTGGACAGTTTTTACACACCTTATGTCCAGAAAAGAAAAGACTTATATGAATACAAGAAAAATTAAATAAAATGTTTAATCACAGTATCTTGTCAGTTGTCTTCAATGAATCTTGTGTGTGTGAGATATAATTTCAAAAAGATTTGGTTAAATAATTTAGACATATCATGTTGATTAGTTTTCATTGTGATGCTTTCAAGTTCATGAACTAATGTATGACAAAAATGGAAAAGTTAATTCCGTTATACTGGGGGGAAAAAAAAGTGAACTTTGAAATCTAGAATGCTGCATAAGCATTAAAATGAACAGTTGAAACGTTTTGAATTTACAAAAATATGTATACATACTCACATACAACTTAACCTCCTGAAGATGAGATTGAAAGTACTTGGGAAAATAAAAACTATTTGAAAGAAAATTTTGTTTTTTTTTTTAAGTAATCAATTTTCTAAGGCTACCAAGAAATTAATCAATGAACTCCAAAGGCTCACAACTGAAACAAATTGACATATGTCCAAATTATCTAATCAAAACTGTTTGAATATATATATATATATATATATATATATATATATATATATATATATATATATATATATATATATATGGTATAAAATGACAATTGGAAAAAAATCTTAGATTTTGCTGACGCGTTTTGTCTTCCGACTTTTCAAGGCAAAATGAAATTGAAATGTTTTTTGTTGTTATAAAAAAAAAAAATAACAATAATAATAATCCCTTACTATAAAGGTAATTTACATTAACCAGAAAAAATAGGCTTAGACACAAGCATCTATTTAAATTTGGATATTTTAATGTAACTATAACAACAAAAATATTTCAATTTCATTTTTGCCTTGAAAAAGTCAGAAGACGAAACGCGTTGGCAAAATTTAAGATTTTTTTCCAATTGTCATTTTATACCAATCTGTCTTGTCCACAGAATTCATCTGGCGAATTTATATATATATATATATATATATATATATATATATATATATATATATAAAGTCTGTTTCATGCTTGAACACAATTTTCTGAAGATTGCCGTCAAGCTTGAAACATTATCGTGACAGTGTTCTCCTCACTGTCCACTTACACACACACTTAGTCCTCACTCTCCAGCCTTGACAGGGTCCAAAAGCATTGCGAAGCCCTTGTCAGTGATGAATCATTCTCCACCCTCCAGCCTCTTGCTGCTCTGTCACTACTTCCATGGAAAGTGCTCAGACAAACTACATTCCCTGGTCCTGCCAATTCAAACCTTCACAACAAGGACATGCCATGTCACTTACATAGTAGCAAACCACCTACATTCCCTTCATATTCCATTGGTGTGGAGTAAGTTCCACTTTAACAGTTTCTTCTTGCATACTACAATCTTAACCTGTTCAAGTCTAGGTTTAGCCATTGTCTTCCACTCCTATCTGCATAAATTGCCTCCTAATGTAACTCTCTACCTTGAGTGGCCCACAGGCCTTGTACAGGGTGAAGCCTATTGTAAAAAATATATATTTTAACATTTGGTATCTAATCGGTTTTTAAATACATTATTTTTGCAAATGACATGAAATATTTCTGTTCTGGCTCAAGTATTGTTAGTGGGTGTTTACATACTTCCCCCTATAAAGAACAATAACTTAAGATACAATGGAGTTACTTCCCTTGTTTGCTAGTTGGATTGAGGCACTTCTGAATTCAACATAGTGATAAGCTGACATGCACGTGGAACTCATGCTTTAAATCCAAACAAATCCTTGCTGTTCTCAGGCAGTAAATGAATAAAAGTTATTTTGTTATGTGTTAAAATACACTTGTCTTTATTTTCATTCATTTTTGTTCATCCCAACAACCTGGGATATAACAAGTATGAAGAGAAAATTCCTGCTCCTTCATAATGGTATGTCAGCTTGTTGCTATTTTTTTTTTCTCAATGATTATCCTTTCATTTGATATCAGTTTATCACCAATAGAAAAAAAAAAATGATTTTCAAGAATAGCTTTAGTTATTCTAATATCAGTTATTTCTGTCTTGTTGACATAGACTCTATGGATTCCTTTCAGTTTTTTTTCCTTCTTTTTTTCCTTTTTTTCCCCTTTTTTTCCTGTACCTAATCCAATCAATTTTTGATTAATTTTTTTAAAAATTTTATTCTGTTTCTTTTTCTTATTTTTGATTTGTTATTTCAATAAAAGGAGGCGTCAGCTAATCTTCCCTTGGATTTGTTGTTTTTGTCTGACATCAGTGCAATCTTATTAATTGTATGGCTTTCAGAGCTGAAATTTAACTTTGCTATCTCCTCCTTATCATTGAAAGAATCTTTTTACAGTAATGGCATTTTGGAATTTATTTTCAAAGTTATATTTAGATTTGTCCTTTTTAACTACAACAAATGAAAAGAATCTACTTGTAGTGTAGCAATAGAACAATTAGAATAACTTTGTATATTCTTTTCACATTGTGCAACTTTCCATGTAAAGAATATATAAATATAGTAATTGTTGATGTTAAACTTTTAAGCTTACTCGTCAATCTGGTTTGGTTTATTTTATACATGGACATTGTTATTGCAGTCACATTAATTTATTATTTACACTATTTAAGTGCAGACTATTGTCTTCATCTTTGTTATTACATTTCAGCCATTGCTCTCTGCTCTTCATCAGATATATGTTGATCCGGGTAACTTACAGGGATATAGTGAGTTCAATCCCTGGGTTGGGTAGTGTGTACTTGAACTTGGTGGAAACAGGTTGAGTAATAACTGAGCAGTACTAAAAATAAAAACTACACAAGATATCTTTAGACATGGGTTGTGGAATGAGAACAGCCCACTCTTGTAGATTAAATAAAGAGTTCAGTTTGGAATTCCTTGGTTACCTGGGTCAAAATACAACTGTTGAAGGCTGAAGGACACAATGGATGAAATGCGATAACAACAAAAAAGATCCCTACAGATTTTCCTTTTTTCTTTTTCTATTATTGACAAATACCTACACCTCATTTCCTGCACTTAAACCCTGGTATTTCTTTAGTACTATTTTTTTAAATTTTGAACTATGAATCAACATCCATCCGATGAGCATCTGTATACTTTTTTTTAAAATAATAAGCAATATCTTGTGCCTGATTAATTGGGTAACCAACAAAACTTGAGTCACACATCAAACATAGGTATATGTATATTTATTAACATATATTTCTTAGCTCTGTCTAATCACATTGAGCACTATTATGTCTACATCTCTTGGCTAAATTTGTTAATTGTTACCAGCATATGCACAACAGCACATACATATACGGTCGCTAATATCTAGTTATCTCATTTACCTAACCCTATACTTATATATATATATATATATTTATATTTATATATTTATATATATATATATATATATATATATATATATATATAAAATGTATTTAATTGAAAGATTAGGAATTTCACCATGGTTAAAGATAAATGGTAGAACTGCCCAACAAACAGAAGTTTGTAATAAACAATAACAAGAAAAGATTGTAAAAGTTCACAAGCTAAGAATTGGTGTTGACACATGTACTGATTCAGATTAATGAATGTAGTGTTCTGACTTCAAGATAGTGATGAGAGTTAGTGTAAGATTAAGAAACCTATTTTCCTGAAAAATTGTTTTAATGAAAGATTTTATAAATTTCAAATGAATGTCCAGAGTGGTCCGAAAGTCTTGTCACTCCCTACCAAAAAGTAATGAGAACAATAGAGCAACAAGTAATGCAATGCATGTGTGCTGGATTAAGTTTATTCACTTTCATTGATGCTGCCACACATCGAGAAGGTCTGTATGAACACCATTATTTTTGCAACACAAAATAATGTAGTGCTATGTCCTGTGTGATATTTTGTGAAGCTATGCTTTGTTGATTGTTGATACAGGGAAGCTACTGTATGGTAGTGGGAAAGTGACTGATGCTGAGATGCCAGGTCAAGACCAGTAACATTGCAGATTCTCTCTTGTATTTCATCAAGAATCTCTAAATACATAGCAGAAAGACCAGACCAGATGTAGCAGCAATATTCAATGCATAGAGGAATGGTAGACTTTAAATGTGTAAGGTAGATTCTGGTGAGAAAAATTGTCTAGAACACTGAACAATTAAATGCACATAATTTAGCTTGATTTTCAAAAAAATTATGATAATCCTGATTTGAAAATAGCAGGAAACTTTATATATGTTTCATAGTTTTTTAAGCATGTTTTCAAAGTATCCTCATCTGCCAGAGTGGCTAGCTAATTCCTGTTGCAGACACCAGCTCAGACACATTTGTGAGTGTTCAACACCCATTCGGATCACTATTCAGTGGTTACTATTCGAGCGAGTATTATTGAGTAAATACTATTAGTGCGAGTAATATTTGAAGGTGTCTGACACCAGCATTGTTCAACGGCATTACTATAATTGTATTGGTGATTACAAAGTCTCTACAACAATGAGCACTTGTTGACATCACAAAAGTGACAATAGGTGTTCATTGACATTACAAAAGTAATTATAATAACTGCAATCCTTTTCAATATTTTAACATTTTGATTTGTAATAATAGTTCAGTCATTTATATGAGAGGATGCTGAAAGGTTCTTGGTTAAACCAAACCAAATTCTGATGTTTGGCCATTTGGTTGTATTCTGGGAAGTAGGTTTTACTCTTGATTCCAAAGACTTACAGCCATATTGCATAGAAACATGGTCCTTATATGATCACCAAAGTTAAGCAAGATTGAGCCTGATCAGTACTTATGTGGGTGACCATTTGGGAATACCAGGTACTGTAAGCTCAGATATGCAGTTGATATTAATAGATAACAGCTCATAATTTGAAATCAGAGAGCCAAATTTTAATTCCAGTCAAGTTTGTTATATTCACTTATTCACAAATACTCTTGGAAAAGGTATGAATCTTACTTCTCCCCCAGCTATGGGTTAATTATTAGGACTTGCATCAGTAAATCATTATTATCCTCCTCTCTCTCAAAGAAAATCTTACAATCTATTTTTCTGGCTATAAATAACTTTCATTTTTGGAAAGTGGTTTGGTTCAAGAACTTTTTTGGCATCCCCTCATATATATATATATATATATGTACACACACATAATGTGTCATCCACAGAGAGACTGTTTTATTGTATCACAGCTCTTCAGTGTGGCTAGATGCACATCTGATTGTTTCAAGCTGGGATCAAAACTCAACCGATTTGGCATCAGTCAGAGATCCTCTCCCTAAGATGTCAGCGCACAACAGAGAGAAAGGGAAATTTTAACGTTTTCTATGCAAAATACGCCAGTAGGGCTCAATTCGTACTTGAAGAGCAATGCATGCATATATATATATATATATATATATATATATATATATATACACACACACATTTCATTATAGTCCTTATGGTTGTTTAGGTGTTGTTCTAGTACAGGCAGTGTCGTCTACTCCACAGCCCAATAGAACCTAACAATTAGTGTAAAACACATGTGGACTTTTTGAAAGCCCTTGTATTTTTTTGTAATGTATCATAAATGGTAGAATTTAAAATTTATGTAAATCTATAATAATAAAAATTCCATGCTTTTGGTACTTGAAAACCTTGTTTTTATGCAAAATCTCAAATTTATTCTGTATCTAATAAATTGAAGAGGATTAGAGCTTGAAGGCATTGTCTATTTTTAACCTAACGTTGTTATAGTGAAAAATAATTTCTCTAAATAAGAATCAAACAAAATGTCTGTATTGAACAATACATAAAATATTTTAGTAAGATTAATAGAAATGCTTTGTGTTTTTATTTTTTCTTTTAAAAATTTAATCCTATTTAAGGGTCATCCTCCCCATTGATAAACAGAATCAATCTTCATTTAATGACCTGTTTAATGACTCATAAAAAATGAAATATTAAAATAAAATTGAAAAAAAAAAATCCAACCATTTGGTATTGCACTTTGATTGTTTTCTCTTCCTTCAAATTAAATTAAAATAAAATATTTACCAGTATTTACAGAATGCAAACAAAAGTAATGTAAAGAATATGAAACTGATTTTCAAATTTGTTTCTTATGTCTACTGTTAAGTATGCTAGTAATTTCTAAAGAATGTTGATTTTATTTTTTAATGTGACACATTTTTACTACCAACGTTATTTTAGTGAATGTTTGAGTAGATGCTCTTTTTTTTTTTTTTTTTTTTTTTTTTTTTTTTTAAAGCAATATTTATTTTGTCTACCAGTGTTCACACTTGAGAAAAATTATTAAAGAAAATGTGCCTTTCAGCAAGATTTGAACCTGCATCCCCCTCTTGCAGAAGAAACCATCTGATACAACATGCTTTAACTGCTTGGCTATGAATTGATTACGAAGCTCTTTGTGGCCAAGCAGTTAAAAATGGTGGATCTGATAGTGTTTTCACCTACAAGGAAGGAAGCAGGTTTAAATCCTGTCAGAGGGTACATTTCCTTTAATGTTTCCTCTCGTGTTCAGGCCAGTAGTCAAAATAAACAGTATTTGAAATAAAGAAAATGCAGAATTTACTCAGATATGGGTATCCACTAAAAATAACTAGTAGTAAAAACTAATGTACTGTTTAAACATTTAGAAATAAATTAGACATATTACAAATGGTGCAAAAGTGACATTAAGGCTCTCGGAAGCTAGTTGATACAAATAGCAGCCAGGTACAAGTTCTCATTTAGAGCCTAGTTTAATGGAATGGAATCCAGTTTTTAAGTGAGGGGTGGCTGTACAGTATCTTTCATTAAATTGTTTTCATTTCTCAGTTCTATTATTTTTTAAAATGTTTTTATTACTATCTTTTAGGATGGCTTTTTAACTGATGATGATGCAGTCACTGAGCCGGATGGTAGTAACCCAAGTTTCATTTACCAACTTTTCCGAGGATTATACCGATCTTCCCTCACATGTCTCAAATGTGAAAGACAGAGCAACACCTATGACCCATATCTGTGTTTGTCTTTGCCGCTGCCTCAAATTCCTGACAGAGCGATTTATATCATTATTGTTTATCACGAATCCCGAGCCAAAGTGATAAAAATTGGAATATTGTTGAAAAACACTGATACAATAGGAGACTTGAGATGCTGTCTAGCAAACTTCACATCTATTTCAAAGTCACAGGTGAGTATTTTTTTAAATTTTTTTGATTTCTTATAAAACATTTTACTCTTGATTCCCTAGACTTAGTCATCTTACAATCAAACACTGATTTTCAAATGACCACCAAAGTTAAGCAACATTGAGCCTGATCAGTACCTAGATGGGCAACTGCTTGGGAATACTAGTTGCTATAAACTTGGATGTGCAGGTGATGTAACGGATAACGGCTCTAAAATTGAAAATCAGAGAGCCGAGTTTAAATTCTTGTCAGGTTCATTATATTCACTTAAGCACAAATACCTTTAAGAAAAGTATGAATCCACCTTTTCTTCCACCAGCTATGAGCTAATTTGTAGGATTCGTATCAGTAAATTATTATTATCTCCAAAAAAAAAACAATCTAAAAAATATTTTCTGACTTTAAATAACCTGCCAAGAACTTACGGTTACATCTAGCAGCCATTTCAACTGTAAAATGATGAGACCTTACTGCCAATCTAGTACTGCACTTCATAAAATCTACATACCCTAGCAGAAAGTTCTTCAGAACAATTACCATAAAAGTATTTATAGAAAAGGCAGAGAAAAGCCATATTATAGCATAACATAATAACAGTAGCAATTATAATGATATCTGTCCTCCTGTATGGCAGTGGGTGTTGGACAATCTTGATGAAGAAGAGATTTGAAGCAACAGAAATGTGGTTCTACAGAAAGATACTGAGGATACCATGGACTGAACATGTGAGCAACAACAAAATTTTAGAGAAAATGGAAACCAAAAGAAAATTTATACATAACATCAAGAGATAGTTGAAAGTTCTAGGGAAAATAATGAAGAAAGACGCTCATGATCGCTATTGTCCTGAAGGGACATGGCCCATAAAGAACAGAAACACAGTGAAATTTTATATTTTTCTATGCCTAATCATTTGACACTTACAGGGCTTAGAGGAGAGAGACTGACCAACCTACCTAACAAATATGTGTAAATGGATAGCAGAACAGAGACTGGGAGTAATGGTGAAAAGTCAAATATACTAAGCATAGAAATAAATACAATATGGGAACCAGTAATAAGGAGTGCCAGAGAAAAGCAATGATAACAAAGTTGCAATATGAACTCTGGTAAAGACATGCAATGATAACAGCAAAAATTGCAATATGAGCACTGGTAAAAATGATGCTGAAAACATTAGGTTTATAATACTCAGAAGTTCATACCCAGATGTCCTCAAGGACACATGGCACAGTGGATAAAGGCGTTGGTTAGATCCAGTGACAGACCCAAAGAAGGTGAGTTCAATTCCTGGTTAAGGCAGTGGAGAACTTTCAGAGGGAAAATTAGCAGGAGATAACATGGCACGTGGAATTAGAACAGTCTACCCCAGCGATCGAAATAAAGGGTTCAGTTCGAAATTCCAACCACCTGAAGAAGGCCTGAGCGTACAACGGCCGAAACGTTGTGACAAATATGGCGACAAAGATGAGGACAATAGTCCGACTAATGTAAATACTCAAATATACTAATGTTTTTTTCTCTTGAACATCTCATTTATGGAATTCGCTCCAGGTTTATGTCAACTTAATTCTTGTTCTTTTATTGTTCTCTCCCCTTAATAATGTGTTTTTTCTCATATTCTCTCACACTCAGTAACTCCCTTGTGTCTTAGTGGCTTTATTGTCTTGCTTTGGATGAAATAATTTTTAAAAAAATGTCTTTAATATTAATGTAGCTATTTTTATGAAAATGATTTTGTTTTAAGCATAAAAGTGTAAATTGCATAATAGTTTTTGGAAAAAAGGAAGTAACATCCAAGAGATAATACTCTGAAAAGAAATTATTAAATTAGGTTCATTCTTAAGATTTTTGTTATTAATTTTATGTTCATAAATAATCTTTGACGTTTCCTGCACCAGCCGTACCAATAAATAATGTTAAGCTGCTTACATAATATTTATCAGTTTTTAGTATTTTTTTTATTCAAGTTTTTATTTCTTTATTTTTATTTATTTTTTTAAAGAGATTTTTGAAGGATATTATAAATTCTGTTATACGAAGTAAGCAAATAAAAAAACAAAGGCTCAATTAAAGTAGATGGTTACTGAATGTGGTTGTTGTAAGAGCATAAAGGGAGGAAATAAAAAGGGTATTGTTTTCTATGACAAGTGAGGTTACATTTGCTTCATAGTTTACTTTTTGTGAAAATCATGTCATTAAGAATTATAACTAACAACAGGGAAAAGAACTAAATTTTTAAAAGTATTTTATATTTCCAATGTATATTATAGATAAACTGTTTACATTATTCGGACTATTGTCCTCATCTTTGTTGCAATATTTATTACGTTTCAGCTGTTGTACGCTCCAGCCTTCTTCAGGTGGTTGGAATGTCAAACTAAACCCTTTATTTCACTCACTGGGGTAGACTGTTCTAGTGCCATGTCTAAGTTATCAGTTATCTCCTGTTAATTCCCCTGTCCAAGTTCTCCACTGCCTTAACCGGGTATTGAACTCACACTCTTTGGGTCCTGTCACTGGAACTAACTAATGCCTTTATCCACTATGCCATGTGTCGAAACTTTGTAATAAATATGGCAACAAAGATGAGGACAATAGTCTGAAGATTCTTATCTAACATGGTATCCATAGAAAAGGGATAGGATTATTTAT